GAGGGAGGGAGGGAGGGAGGGTGGGAAAGAGAGAGAGGAGAGTGAGAAGGCTACCTTATACACACGCACACATTGAAATTAAATGACTTAAATGTGTTCGTCCAAGCCCTGTGGATCTTTTTTCTTTTGGTTATTCTTGTGTCAGGCTCAGGACAGTATTGTGAAGAATGATTGCATTGATAATGTTGAAATCTAGTGGTTTAGGCTCACTAATTGCAGTCAGTTTGTCTGTGTATGTTAAATGACTAAAATCATAGTAAGAATGAGACAGATTTACTAATGGAAGATGGCAGCTTTTTTCTTCAGTGTCCCTCAACTGTCCTAAATGCTACAATACATTTTCAGATAGATCCCCAGATATCTGACAGTTTAGGGCACAACCAGAACTGACAAACTAAAGTGGTTAGTTCTAGTTTACAGCGAGGGCAGGTAAGGTCAGTATTAGGGAATATCGTTCCAAGTTTAGTCCTGGACCAACTACTGAATAACACAATGCCTTGCATTCAAAAAGTGGATCATATTTAGAATACAGTTCCATGTGTCCTCATCAAATTCTCCCTCCAGGTCATTTTCTCATAGGACCTTGAAGGGAGTTAGTGGCATCAGAAGGTTATTAATAATATTGTTCATAATTGAGATTACACCCGTAGGCTCAGAATACCCTCTAAAAGGGTTCCTGTGGGCATATTGGGGAAACGGAGTGTGTTTCGTGTACAGAATCCCTAACTTGCAGATAGCAGAAAAATTGAGATGCGACTTAAACTTTTCTTTAAGCTGAACAAATGAGGCAAATGTGCCATCAGTATATAGGTGTGATGAGGATGATATCCCTGATTTATGCCAAACCCTAAAGACTCCATTGTTTAATGATGGGGGGGAAAGGGTTTCTCAAAATATGAAATAAAGGCAATCAAGGGAAATTGATTCCAGGGTGATTGTTTTACCACTAGGTAATCACATTTTCTGAAAGGAAATGGAAAAGAGAAACATAGCAAAGAGGACAGAGCAGCAGGTTTATATGATTCTGACTCTAGTTGGGCTCAGAGAGGAATTCTGTGCCCTTGATGTGGTGGTATCCAGTGTAGAAGGCCTCTGAAAGACCCTCCAATTCTTTGCAGTTTTGTAAGTGCATATTTCTTCACCTTCCCAAATAAAAGACAGAACAGTTTGTTCAGGAGCACATGAATTTTTAAAACAGTGACTTGACCAATGGGTGAAAGAGGAAGATATTTCCAATACATAAATGATTGCTTGAGGCTATCAACTAGAGCAGCAATATATGTATTGAATAATTATGAGTACTTTCATGCTACATCAACTCCAAGACATGTAAAGTGGTCACGGACCTCTCTGAACTGGACATTTGAATTAGCTATTCAAGGCAGCATTGTTTCCTGGGAACAGTAAAAAAGTTTTACATTCAAGAGAGAAGATCAAATGAACTATTTCAATATTTACAAGCTCAAACAAAACTATTTACATATAGGAACACCTTAATCCAGAGATCCGGAAAGAAAGAGTCAGAGAAGGTCAAACTAACTATTTACTTATTTACAAGATAAAGGAACACCCTAATCCAGGGATCCAGAGAGAAGGAGTCAGAGAGAAGGTCAGATGTGCCCCAAACGCCAGTGATGCCACACCTACTGACGCACATGACACAAGGGGAGAGGGAGAGATCCCAGTGCTGTTGGCAGGAGATTGCTCTAAACAGCATGCTATGGGAATGAATTACAATATAATTTATTTCTCGCCTTTGGTCTAAATTAATGCCTACATTTGTCACTAGTCGCCTTTTAGAAGTAAAGTTGCTAAAAGGGTCTGAAAAGTTGCTAAATCTAGTGAGAAAATCACTAATTTGGCACACACTCTGTTTGATTTTGTTTGTGTAAGTGCGTGTGTGACATACCGTAGAGCTTGTGCCAGTGCCACCTCACATTTTTCAAACACCTATCAATTAACATTTTATATTTCATGACACATTAATGTAATTATTGGATGAATTTCTCTATTGTCTCAGAATTGTCCCAGACACTGTACCTATGTGTCCCAGGTGCTTATTGTCCTTGGAACAATGGGACATTCTTAATGTTGAGCCCTGTTAGTCTCCTTAACACATTTTTCCTTAACACATCATTACACTTCAAGACAACATTTACATTAACATAATCCTTGTAGACTAATTAATCAGTCCCAATGTTGCTGCAGTGTGTCATTTTGTCAGGTTTAGTGTGTTTTTTATTGTGCTGCTGGTTCCTGCTTTCTCACCATTAACAGAGCAGATGAGCAGAAACTAGGGAATGATATTGACCACAAGAGGGCAGTCTACCCTAAGATCTGTGAAAACGTTTTTCAAACACTATTAAATCTATTGGATAACCCCTTATGTCACCTGTGTTTGTCTGTGTATGTGTGCCAGTAAAAAGGTATATTTGTGCGGCTGCATGTGTCTGCATGAATGGAAGAAGTATGTTTGAAGAAAGGTAACGTTATCCAAACATATTAAATGTTTGAATATGTCTGATCATGTTTCCTTCTCACTTTGCATGTGTGTGCATGATTGTATAGACAGCTCAGACCCCCCTGCTCACACACCACCCCCACCTTTGACGTATCTAAGCTAATATAAAGTCAGTGATGAATGAATGTGGTAGTGAGTGCTCCTCTGACGAGGAGGAAGAAGAGAGGTGAGTTCTCCTGACCCCTCATCAGACGGCGAAGGAGAAAGGGGAAGAATACGCCATTGTGCCCGAGTGCCGGAGATGATGAAATTCAAGATCCCCGCGCTGTGGCTTCGTCTTAATCTGGGGGCCCAACCTCGCACTAGGCTAATCCCTCCCCGTCGAATTACTGGCCCTGGTTAGATTGTATTTTGTCATTGAAAATGGCAGTGTCAAACACTACCTTTTTCTCTCCTCTATTTGTTCGTCTGCCAAGGCGAATCGCATAATCAAAAGATGGAGAGTGAGAGAGAGAGAGAAAGCGATTGAGAGAGTGAGAGGGAGAGGTGGCAAGCTGAAAATGGCTACACAGTAGTATCTCTAAATTGCATGCTACCCTTGCCTTTCACCCTTTTTCAAATAGGCGCGTATTATCAAAAAGGTGGGCAAATTGAGAGTCAAAAGATTGGACGGTTATATTTGAAGGCATTGTGCTGACAGGCTCTTTTGTGTGTGTGTATGTGCATGGAGGGGGGGTTAATGTGTGTATGTATGTCTGTGTGTATTCTCTCTGCGTTTGCATATCAACCAAAGCTGGAGATGACCAACTTCCCTCATCTTCAAAGCTTTGTTGGAGGATTTAAATACACACACACACACAC